AAACTTTTGAAATAGTCCTTACTTTACGAAAAAATACTGTCCTTTCTCTTTTACACACAGCATCAAATTAGTTATCATAAGAAGGAGTATACGCTAAGCTTTCTGAAAATACTAAATATGTTAAGACAGCTCATATAGGCCAAACGGAAGAGCTGGCAAACTTTCACAAATATCGTCCAAAAACGTCATATTGACAAATTTTCTCAAATATATTTTATATAAGTAATCGCGTTAAAATATTTATCAGAGAATGAGTGTGTTTACAGGTATCTATTTAAAAAATAAAAGGCACCAATTTTGAATTAGTGTATTTTTGCGAGTAAGTTGATTTACTGACAAAACAGTATAACAAAATCACATTTCAAGCTCTCATAGCAAACAAACAAAATATTACATTCTCTATTTATATTACCTTATAAAGCACTCCAATAGCTAGAGAAAGAAAATCAGCCAAATCAGCCGCTAAAAAACAAACTATGTTAAATCCTGTTTTCATCTCGCCGCGCGTAGATCATCAATTTAAAGTCGGAATTCCTCATTGCATTACCTCAGCCTATTATAACTCTTTTATTCCAAGGACATCTTCAGAGTGGAATCGCCTTCCCGCGCAATTAGTAAACATACCATCCTTTGAGTTGTTTAAAAGGGCGTTGACTACTTACCTATGTTAATATTTCTCTTTGTTTGTTTGCCTTGTTTTATACATTTCTTAATTTGTTTACACATTTTCTTTACATTTTTCGTGCTTGGCTTTTAGTGTTTGTATATTGTTTGTGTTCCAAATTTGTCTTGTACCACTCCCCTCTGTAATGCCCCAGGGCCTTGAGGGTACTTAAATAAATAAATAAATAAACAAGGTGGGTTTCTTTAGAAAGTGGATCTCTAATTTGCCAATATTTTGAAACAGCCCTTGATTTACAAGAATACACTGCCCTCTCTCTTTTACATGCAACAATAAATTTGTTATCAATAGAAAGAGTATACTTTAGCTTTCTGAAAATACTAAATATGTTACAATATCTCAAATAGGTCACACGGAAGAGCTGGTCAAACTTTCACAAATATTATCAAAGGGACACCTTTTGACAATATTTAAAACAAAAGTGAAGATAAATAATCGCAATAAAATTATTGACCATAAATAATCCCTATTCCGAGAGTGGCCCAAAAGAGTTACACTGCACTACCGAAAAAGGGCAAAAAGTAGAAAGGAGTGAAGCATGATACCTCCGACAGGCAAGAGAAAGGTCAGTTGGCGCCTCGGCTGCTTAAAATGCCCATAACTGAAGAACGAAAAATCGCCCGAACTTGCAGTTCCCAGAAAAGGTCTATAACGATTTGCATTCTTCCGTATTGAAAGGAAGTAAGCGCTGGTGCCCGAAGTTGTAGATACGGACTTCTAAGTAACTGCTTTTAAGCACACTACTCCAAATTTTAATAATGTTTAGGGTTGGATTTTGGGGTAACTGCTAACGATAAGTAGAAAACTTTACATAGGCCAAAATTCTGCTCAGCAGAGCGCCTGTGCGAAGTCCCGTTCAAAACGCTCATAGCACGAGATTCGAGTCTTAGTAGCGGCCATCCAAACAATAAATTACAATTTCTGTTGGTAGTTTCTGATAGACTACTATATTACCTAACTCTGAATAAAAAATTAAAAAAATAAAAGGTGGGGTTTTTAGAAAATCGAAAAACTTGCTAGTTTTTCGAGATATCCTTTTTTGGAGGCACATGTGGCGCATTAAATATTTATTGCACAATATTGAAAACATACTAAAAAAAAGAGCTTAATTGGAGCTTTACGGTGATGTAAAGATTATAAAAATATGTTGATTAGGTCAGACAAAACAGCTTGCTTAACTTGGTCAAATACCGTCGCGGAGAGGCGGTTTGACAAATAAACAGAAAATATATTAAGAATGTTATGACCTAGGCGCGTAATTAGCATAAAAAAGCATATGTCGAAAGTGTTCTCAAAAAGTTATATTTATGTAGCATAAAAACTAAGGAAAAGGGATAAAGTGAAATGTGGCACCCCCGATAGCTGGAAAAACGACAGTTTCACCTTAGCCGCTTCAACGGTCCATAACGTGAGAACAAAAAATGCGACGAACTTGCCGTTTGCGTCTTCTTTTATTACAGGAATTGCCCGATAACATGTATCTTTTTTTAATTAAAAATTGTTCGACTTAAAATTTGTGCCTGAGTTGAGATGAAATCACCCATACATATATATATATATATATATATATATATATATATATATATATATATATATATATATATATATATATATATATATATATATAAACACAAAGAGAGAGAGAGGTGAACTACACTATGCGACATGAGCACACAGACGTCGCCCCCACAGATCAGATATATTTCCGGAGCCCCTGTCCACTGTACTCGTTGAAGGCGGAACGCGGGCGTCCGGCGTTTGGCTCTCGTATTCGAACGCGTTCGACGAGTGCAGTGGAGGAAAAAGCAGCTAGTTTCAGGCCTACCCACTAATCCTTCCAAACAGAGCTCGGCGTTTTGAGGCACCCGCGCGCTCTTCACACTCCTTAGGTTTCTAGGAGCTGTGAGAATGGCAGGGCGGAATCTTCAGTTACCTCCTGTACGAGCTTTCTACGCTCGATAATACCTCGGAGTTTCGTGAGCTTCGAGCCTGCACGCGCAGCCAAAGCACAATGGAAGATGACGAGCGCGAATTGGTGGCCGGGCACTGGAAAGAGATGCTTTGTCGTTTTCATCCTGTCAGTGACTAAGCTGAGCGCAATTTCGTATGCTACGTTTGCTGGGATTGTGGCGACGTCCAAATCCAGAGCTCTGTTTGGCCCTGATTGAAGGATATTGGGTAGACCTCAAAGCAAGCTGCCTTGAGGTCTACCCACTATCCTTCAAGAGGAGGCAATCAGGGCTTGGCGTTCTAACGTCACCACAACTGGTGCAAAAAAGCAGACGAATTTGCGAGAAAATATATTTTCAACCTGAATTTGCAACGTTTCAACCTGGAATTGGCGAGAAAATATATATGTGAGGCAAAACACCTTCCAGCGGCGTGAAGCGATCAAAACGATGTGTTACCGCACACCGGAAGTGACGACATTCAAGATGGCTGAGCCCTTGTGGGAAAAAGGTGACGTAGAAGACCCAGCGATACGGCCTTGCCATTCAGGAGCTGTTGGCGATGCACGCGACAACTCTCCACAGGAGGAGTGCACTCGATGGTACACTATCACATGTCTCGCTCTGACGCCCTTACTGGATAATCGCAGTCGTAGTCTTTGCCAAGTATTCTAACGCAGTGTACAGATCAGTGTTTACGGTAACGCGTAAGGTTTTTGTTAAGGTTCTAATGTAGTACTCGTTACATAAGAGAGTCTTAGTACTGCGGATAGGAGGAAACGCAAGCGCTGTGCGTTAGCCTTGCGTGCTCCACGCTGCGCATGCATGTGCGTCGTCGCCGTGCTCCAATCCAAGACCGCAATTCCGGGCTCCGCGCACGCGCAGTGGGGAACACGCAACGCTAACGCAAACACACAGTGTTGGCGTTTGCTCATATACGGAATACTACAACTCACTATTTTCGGAAATGTAACGAAAAATTTACTTGAGTTACTTATTTTCAGTAACGGGTGACAGCTGTTACTCGTAACCATCTTTTTTCCCAAGATTTAAAAAAAAAAAAAAAGTACACTTGAATTTGGTTTGTGTTTCCAGGCGCCAAGTGATATGAATTCTTGCAACTCATCCCACATACCTTCGAAGTTTTGCCTCTCTTTCCCCGCGTAAACCGCGTAAACACTCCCACTTTAAAAAAAAAAAAAAAAAAAGCGACGCCCAGGCCCATTGTTTTTGCAGTGTCGAAAAACGCTGTCGTTTCATAGATAAAAAGTAATGCAAAAGTAACGTGCGCTCCTTGTTTTCCGTTACGGTAATGCTTTTCTCTTATATTGAGGTAACGCCGAGTTGGTAAAGCGTTCATTATAGTGGCATGCAACGAGTTACGTATCTCGTTGCTTTCTTTTGTAACGCCTAATATACAACAACTGGTACATGTGGACACCTCTGACGGAAACTTGAAATTTAATGTTTTGTACAGCGCAGGACAGTGGGACGACGAACGATGAGCGCTGTGCATCGATGGTGGACGCTGACTGTGTATCTGACTTCTGGGGATTTGCCAGACTTTTTGTCCGTGTCCGGAGTAGACACACACGCTTCTCTGTAGACGTTTTCACTGTTTACAGAAGTCCCAGTTCATACGTGCTAAATCATAGTCCAGCCAGCACTCGCTCGAAATTGCGGCCAGCCAGAAGGTACGCGTGCATAACACACAAGCACAGCAGTGAACACGCCCTCATACGCTTTTATGAAAAGGTGTATAGGCGACTGCAAGCAAGGCGACTGGACGCCGCCATGTCTCTGCTTGTGCGGGAAAGTCCGTGCAATTCCAAGCTTGACGAAGTCATCTTCACGCGTACGCAGCACGTGCGTGTACGGATGGGGCACCAGTCGGGGCGCCACGCTTTAAATTTTCTGTATATGTACTGGCAACACTTGAGCTTCGAGGACACGAGCATTCTTAGATTACGACACAATGTGGCGTTTTATAATGGCACCACTTCAATTCCAGAATGAACAAAAGGTCGACACTTTCATTTTTTTTACAGCGGAGCGGTTGAGGGCTAGTTTCCCCAGTATCGTGTCCGTGGGCAAACAAATCTAGACACAAAACACTGGACGGCTACTGCCATCTACTAGCGGCAGCGGCAACCAGACAACCGGCTTGCCGGTTGTCTGCTTGCCATAGTTGCTCATAGATGGCGGCAACCTTTCCAGCCTTTCCACTCTGGCTTGCCGACTTGCGGCCGGCCATTACTTCATTCACACCATAGTACAGCGTCGCTGCTCTTCTTCACCAGAGTAGAAAGGCTGTTCTTAACCAAATCAGGCTTTTTTTATATATATATATATATTTTATACATACCCCATTAGCTTCTACTTTAAAATGATTTTTATTTGATCAGATGAGGCACGAAAGGTCAACGGCTTTATATACGTCGAGCGGCCAAGTGCACTTTCTCAATGGTGAAACGTGAACAATCATATGCATATGAGCAGGCGGCTTCCATTGATGAAGTGATGATAGAATATGCATCAGTTAACGTAACCAAACTTAGGCCCGAAAATAACAACAACAACAATACCTCGACATTGGCATTCAGTTGTGGGTCGTTGAAGCCACTGTCCCATTCGCGATCAGTTGCGACACTCGGTGCCGCTGAGAACCACGAAGACTTGCCGCGGTTAGCGGCGTCTTCCACGTCCATGTTCTCGTGGTTCGTGCCTTCGGAGCTTTCTCAAGTCATCCGGTTCAAACCTCGAGCACGAGAGTTGGCAAGACCTAGGCGACGCAGTTGCTCACACATCGTACAAAATGTCACTGTGTTCGTTGCAGACACGATGGCAGAATTACCTGGGGACACATGTCTCCAGCGTCTTCGAAGCATTATGTTTGCTTTATACATATGTGTGCTTCAAACATGTCTGCGGATGCCTGCAGACTGTCTTTTGTGTGATGTGTTGGCAGTGTGATTGCGGCTCAAAACGACCGTGCACGAGATCCGTGAGAAGCGTTCAGAACCGCGCCACGACAACCGGCTTGTCGTGCGAATCCTCCACGTCGATCTTCTCCACGATGTCGCTGAACGCTCCGTTGCTGTGTCCATTGGAGCGCTTTTCGTGGCCGGCACGGCTGTGGCCGTTGGCGGTCTGCTCGGCGGCAGCCATGACGCCTTTGGGCATGAACAGCCGCTTCTCGATGTTGCCGACGGGACACTCGACGAGCAGGAAGAGCACGTAGGCGGTCAGGTAGCTCAGGAACGTCGTGCTCAAGAACAGCATCACCTGCGTTTATGTTTCGAGCGCGTTCTGAGTTTGATTGTTCCCTGGGTTAAGACAGGACGTGAAACATACGACGAGGAAAAGAAACATCGGTACTTTTTTTCAAAGACTCACTGGCGGTTGCATTTAGGAGTTTTGTTTTTAATCGGCGCGGTATTTTAAGTGAAATCATTATTCCGAACGCGCTTCCTGTACTTGCGCTTGCTTCAATTTGTGGCGGGCCACTATGATCCCAAAACACTGATAATCCAAACTCGTTTGAAGCACGTGTACGCATTAGTAAAATTAATTTTAATACCATTAAGTCAAATTCCGCAATTCTCCATGTACAACAAAACCATCAAATAATTATTCTGAAAACAATATTGTTCTACTAATTATATCGCGTCTCGCGCGTTCTGCGGTTCTGAGAGGTATCGCCTTTTTATCACCCGTGAGAATGTGTTTCGGTGCTAAAATTTATAACAAGCCTCCACTATGAGAAGTCTAGATATCAACGAGCCGATTCGTGCGTGTGTAAAAAGAAAAAGAAAGAAAGAGGGGTTTAGGGTTAAATTACCATTTTGTCTGTTTTCGCTCTTTCTTTGCCGTGTATCCCTACTCTATTAGCGGCGAGATGTTTTGGTGGCGCCTTCCTATGGTTCCCCCTTGTGACGTCATTACCTTGCAAACAACAAGTTCGATGGTGTTTGTAAATAGCATGGTGGAAGCTTGAAATCATTGCGCTCTCAAAGGAACACTGCCAACACCGTCAAAATTAAAGTTCTTTCATTCCTCTTATTTCCGTCGATGATAAATCCCCTTTCCTACGTCATAGTCAGCGTTCGGCCAATCGTGGAAGGCCGACCACAGCGACGCTTTCGGTCGCGCACGGGGCTAATTCGCAAAGATGCTAGGCAGCATGATCTGATCAAGAAGGACATGAATAAGGAAGTGAACATTATATAGAACATGACACTGCCTCGGTGCAATCCCATGCAACTGATGTGCTACACTTCATATCGATAGAGTTCCGACAAACGAGTTGCATGCACGCTGACAGCTCACCATTGGGAAGTGGTAGTATTCGCCGATTTCGCGGCGGTAGGTGCCTCTGATCGTCAGGATGAAGATGGAGGTTAAATAGGCTCCCAGGGAGAGCCTACTCAGCGGCACGAAGAAATTCCACGAGAGAAACCTGTTCAGCAATCCTGCGAAGTCAAAAACAAAAGCGGTCGCATTCCCGCTTAGCCAGGTATACCCTGTCAACCGGATGCAACACAGGAGATTTGTTTGGGAGAAAGCTTCTTAACTGAGTAATCTTGCTAGCTCGGCAATGGAACGTTGCCGAACCCAGAACCGCGGGAAAAGCACGCGTATATAATTTGAAATGGAGTTCAGCGTGACGGCAGATTACAGAACAGCGAAGAATAAACGCGTACTCGCCCGTCACTGCATAAAAAAACATAGACGATAAAACACGCGCTACTATACCAGAGCTCAGTGTTCCAAAGATTATTGACCTTGCGAGCATACCGTGAATCGCCCAGAGGAGTCGTTCGTTTAACACATGGGGTCTCCATGCACACTCCGGCCCGCTTGCCAGCTCCGGCCCCCGGCGGGCCGCGGCCATTCCAGTGACGCGTTGAGCCCGCTACCCGTTTCCAGCTGGCCCGCTGCTACCAACGCAAAAACAAATGCGTGTAAAAAAAAATGGCGCCGGGATTTGCATTAAGCACGCACACGAATGTAGCAGAAGAACGATAACTATTCATAGTTTACATTTTTGTATTTACTCATATTTTGGGCCGTCGAGACTGCGACAGACCCCCAATATGGCTCCTTAGCCAAAAGGTTCGGAGACCCCTGGTTGAACGGAAGCTGTTTCGTGCGGTCATAGCGGTATGTTATCTTTCCTATACCAGAATGCAATGTGGAATCCACTGTATCGAAAACTGGACATCCGACAAGTTCAGTTATGCTTTTCAATCTTTCCTGCGTTTGTAGGTTACTTTAGTAGAGAGAATTTTACTCAACCACAGCCTCTAAGAAGTTCGAGTGAAGCCTTGAAAGAAATCTTTACTTGCGAGAGCGCATTTCCCCTTAGCGACCTCACCGAACGACTTCTTAGATGCTTTCGCGCGTTCTCGACAATGACGGGCTTTATTTCCACTAATAACCTATCCTGCATAGTATTCCGGAGCACGGCTGCACGCGTAATATTCGAAGAATGACACCACAGTTTCCTCTGCGTTCACGTAACTTCATCGCATTAGGATGGCGCCAACTCGGCGATCGGGCCCGAGCCTGACACTGAGCGCCGTTCGATCGACGCGTTGATTGGACACGAGAACCAGACGAACGCTGACACAGCGTTGGTCTGCGCCTGGTCTCGTTGTGATGACGTCAACATTCTGGTGCACGGGCTTTGATTTTCAAATGGTGCTGGTCCCACTTGGCATGGTGGCACGGACCCCTTCCAACTATACAGGTGCGTATGCAGTCTCGGTTCACCTGCTCGTCCGGTCACGCATGCGTAGACGAGCCACCCGAGGCAGACGGCCCAGACGCTCCGGTGTAGCCCCGCGTAGATGCCGGCCTCGATCCGACTGGGGAAGTTTCCCTTCAGCCACTCGTGCGGCACCATTACCACGCACAGGGCCACGGCACTGGCGACCAACCACAGGGCCACCTGCGTCACCTGCGGCCAAGAGACCCATTCCAGCCAAATCTGGGCAATGACTTCCGAGAGTGCTTTTTTGATTTCGATATTTTATTTTTTTAATCTTCCCATAAGGAGAGTCACCATCATAACTAATTGAAATTTTTGCTCGAATCATTTAATGGTCGAACAATCTTTTACCTCGGTCAAAGTCTCGATCACATTTACGCGCTTAAGGTTGGCGTACAAAGCGTTAATGCTCGTACATTTAACGAGTCATTTATACCTTGAACATCGAATGACTGAATCGCCTTCCGGATTTAATTGATGCTGCTCTTTCTGATCAAACTTTTACTAACAGCACCCTTAGATGATTTATTGTGTATATTTATATGTTCACCCCCTCCTCCCTTGTATTGTAATTTGCACTTTGAGGGCAAATAAATATACAAATAAATAAATAAATAGTATTATCAAAATACCGCAACGAAGACCTTCTTCACGAGGTAGTCGAAATCACCTCTTTAAACCTGAATGACCGCTAGAAAACAAATTTGAATCGCCAACGAAAATATACTGACTCGATACTTACTTGCAACCACTGCATTTACTACTATTTAAACAGGCTTTTACTTAAAAAAATATATATATATATTTTGCACATTTGCGGCGAATGCACGAGTCCTTAACAACATGAAGTGCCCACCCTGGCTATAATTATCTGCACAAACGGGCACATTAGGCGTTATGATTTATGTTGCTGGGCATATATTTCTGACCACGGGTCTTAACCCCAACCTTCGCTAATATTCTCTTTGGGTGAGTTTTGTTTTCGCCTCCCGAGGAAAATACTCGAAGAATATGTCCATCGAGCGAGAAAAATTCCATCTATAAAGTCTCAGTTGGTGACAGTTTGGTCAACATGGCACGAATTTAAGTGACTAATAGAACGTGGTTCATAAGAAAACGAGGAAGTTGGCCAAAGAAAGGCACTTGCAGGTTTCACGTACAATTAGTGCCTGTGCGTAAAAACATATGAGAGCTAGTTATGTTACACTTTTTTCTGTTCTATTTATCTTCTTAGAAACAAAAATAAAAAAAAGATAACATATTCTTTAGCTTAGCAGTTAGTGACTATTTTGGCTTATGTACGGGAGGGGATTTGTAGTCAATGGTGTGTGCATTATTTCGCGATTTATTTGGCGTCCGCCTCTCTCGTTTTTATTCACGCTACTAGTGAAGACCCTCACCTTGTGTATCTTGATATCTGGGAATTTGACCACAAAGTAGCCGAAGAGCAGGCCCGAGCAGTAGGAGCCTACATGCGTAAAGGGACGCACGTACACATAGTCCACCGTGTCCGAGGGTCGCCTGCGAACGCAAACGTGGTTCTAGCGTCGAACAAAACCCTGACTCTTGAGCATTTCGAAGAGGGTCATATTTACGCCGAAGGCCTTTCGGAGACTGGCGAATCAGCTCGAGATACCGACACTGCGCGTGCCACTCGGAGAATGGTGATTCGCCGATTTTTGGGAACCGTTTGAAAGGCCTGCGAGACAGAGGTGTTGTCGTACTGCGCCTACACAACCTAGAATAATTGACGTCTGCGAACATCCTCTTCAAACGTTAACTGCTTTTCGAACTGAGGACGCTATTCGGCGCTTTACCGAGCTTTGTGTACGAGGTTCGTAAGATCGCCCTGGCAGAGTTGCTGTCTTCAATGGAAATCGGTTTCCCCTCTGGACACTGAGGAGTTTAAGCATTTTATTTTTGAAAGTGCCACCTCTCTTGTCTCGCGAACACCTCCGGAGCTGTTGTACGGTGCTACGTGTGGTGCAACAAGAGATGTCTCTAGCTCCTCTCTGATGGAAATGTACATCGCAATGGCGTTCAGAGGCAGAAGTGGTTGAAAATGTTCGCGTGACTCATTTTCACGCTTGGGGCACGTGATCTTCGCTTCCATCTTCGTTATAGAAGCGCCCGTAATTCTGCCGCTGCCACCCGCTAACTGGAATTGCCATTGTCGAAACATCGACGGACGTCAGGCCCCTTTCGTTCTTTTTTTTAAAATTTCTTATTATATTTTTATTTAACAATTTATTTTTGTAAGTTCTTGTGTTTAACTTTGACTTTTATTGTTCCGTCATTTTTAAGTGTACTGTACGCGTACCTAGCATTCTTGTGTCTAGCCTTGATTGTTCTTGTACACTAATGCAACTTTTTTTTGGCACTTTATTCTTTTTCCTTGTGTTACTTTTTTAGCCATTAAATTTGTCTTTTTATCATCCCACGGCTACCGTGTCTGCGCACCCTACTTTTACCTATATCTGTATCTAAATCTATATCTACCTCTCTCTCTCTCTCTCTCTCTCTCTCTATATATATATATATATATATATATATATATATATACATATATATATATATACGTGTGTGTGTGTGTGTGTTTTTGAAATGTTTGTATAGAAGGAGAGCAACACTGTTTAACAAGCCACCCTTCGTCAAAGTTTGGACAAAAAGTTGGGAGGTTCACCAAATCAATCGACCCACATATTTGAGAAGAGTTCACGACATCCTAGTCAAAGCATGGTTCGAAACCCCGCTCTGAAAACGGACCGCGCGTATACGTTAGGACACTGCGCGCCACTCACTGTTGATTGGTGTCCATCAGCAGTGGCAGGGGCTGGTAGTCCCGCATGTACGTCAGAATGACGACGTACACACTGGCAGCAGTCGTGGCGGTACCCATCAAAAACAGCCCCAGCTTCTCCCTCCTGGAACAAAAGCACCTTAGTTTCTTAAGCCTGGAATTCCAACGTCGTCGCTCGAAAGAACAAATTCAAAAAGCGGCAGTATGAACTGGCCCAGTTTAGTAATAGCAGCAAAGGGTAGAGTTCCGAGTAGATCTCCCCGTTGTTCCTCACGCAGAAACGCCAATCGGCGGTAAGGCTACTCTCACTTCCCCGTCCCCCCCCCCCCCCTCTCCCTTTTTTTCCCTGTAGGCCGCCACCCCCCTGTTCCGAAAAAACTCACGTCAACACGCCGAAGCACGTTTTCCGCCTCCCGATCGTTCCTGTTACATCCATAGCACCTCCTGCAACCATATCCCTTTCCTCTCTCTCCCTCCTCCCCCCCCCCCCCTTTTCCAGAAGCGGCCGTTTCGTAATACTCACGTGGTCGCACTATGGCCGCTGCAGGCTTGTAGCGACACGCTCCCTCGCCCGCCCCGCCCCCCCCCCCCCCCCCCCCCCCCCCCCCCCCACTGCCGCCGTCCAGGATCCGTTCTCAGAACTCACTACCAACATTATAGAGCACACTGACTGAAGGCAAATCTCCTTCAACGTGCCTTTCCGAAACGCAGCAGCTACCGCTGCCAATCGTAGCACACTTTGTGTAATCGTTTGCAATATTTTTTTTAATGCATGTTTGAGGTTTTTTGCATGGCTTTTGTGCCACTCCGGCGCCACTGGGCCAACTCGTATTGCCGTAACCTGCAGGTACGAGCTAGGCCACCAATAGTTGGGCCAAAGCCTGCGCAGAGAGGGGTGCCCAGAGCACAGTACCTGAGCATGATGAGGGGTACGGCGCAAAACACGAGGTACAGCTGCCAGTCAACGCTGATGTACCAGTAGAACGGAAGGCACTGCAGAAACGAGCAACGTGAGAGTGCGTCATCAGTAAAATGTATACCATGCCAACGAATTCAAACTTGTCGGGGCTGCCTATGAAGCTTAATTCAAGTCTGTCCTCGAAACATTAATAATTAATCAGCAATTAATTAATTAATTAATTAATTAATTCCATTCATGTGCTCATGAACAACCGAAGCCTTAGTCAGCTCATGGCGCACAAATCTGTAAAAAAAAACATTCTGCCCAGAATGATTTCTTCACAACATACTATTTTCTCAAAAATAAGTTTTAAAGAATAATTTAATGTTGTTTTCCTAATAATAAATATATTTGACTAGAATCGAATACTCAGTTTTGTAGCGAAACAGGACGTTTTAAATGTCACTGAAGAAACTCTTGCTTGTTAATTAGAAGCTTCTTCTACCCGGTTAGTATGGGTGGATTAGTTTCACGGATCCAGATGATAACGCAACTTAATTTGAATTTAGGTGAGCTTCAGTCAAACTTTTAATCGGAGTTAAAGAAACGGCGTTATTTCTATTAGAAAATACATAAATTACATATCCGGTACTTTAGTATTGGACAACATAACTACGGGTGTTGCGAATGTCGAACCAAATTTTTTGGTCGAACTTTCGGGGTTCGACTGGGTCGAACCGGTTCGACGAACCTTCAAACTTTTCACCAGATTCGACCGGTTCGACATTGTGGACAGTGGGGCCAGACCTTCATACAAGCATGTCTAAGTTTGGAAAAAAAAATTTATGCAAAGGGTTGTTTTACATTGTGAACAGCTGCAATTAAAAGAAACTAATTCTAATCAATGAAGTTAATAACTTAATGTTTAGTACTGTATTAACTGAAATAGCCAATCAGCGCTGCTCTTAATTCATCTCTTAGCCATTATCATCCAATCCGAAGCCAACTGGCCAGCCTGTCGCGCATGCGCACACGATTCGAACCTCAATCGAAGGTCGTCGAACTTTCCACTAAAAGTTCGAAAAAGTCGAACTTGGTCGAACTCGACCGCGGCCGGTTCGCGACACCCCTAAACGTAACGTATGCCCTCAGTCTTGTTCCCGTTACACGAAAACAAAAAGTAATCGATGACGATTAGTCTTACCTAAAAAGTATTCAATTATATTACTTGATTACTTAAGAAGGAAAGTAATTGACAGTCATTCGAAAAAGTAACCGCCACTTTCACGATTACTTCGAATTTTCAGAAGGACAAATATTTTTAGGCTTGTTTTTAAACTTTGTTTTTTGTATACAGTCCCTTAAAAAATCAGAATCGCCGAGTTATAAATTACCTTTCTTCTTAATCCACCAATTTTAATACGCCGCCCTCATGTGCGACACTTGGTTCGATGATTCCTTGGAAGGACTCTTGCAAAAACAAAAGGCGCCATTAAAAAAAAAAGAAGTAAGGCAAAAGGTATCAGCTAAAAGTAAATTTAGTACTTCCAAAAGTAATCAGATCACGCTTCAGATTGCAAATGATCAAAATTACCCCAAATAGCTAACGATTGCCAGTAATTTCATTACTTGTAATGAGTGCCGTAAAAGATTTTCCATTCAAGAAAGACATTGCGAGGCGTGCGAGATCATAACTGTCGTTCCCTAAAATCACGAGGAAAATGCAGCTTTTCAAAGTCTCAGCTCCAGAGTGGAGGGAAATTTATTTCGAAGCTTTTACTTGGTGGCCAGTTTTCCATGTAGTTTTGATTTCAATTTCGTTCCCCTAACTTTTACTGTACTTCGTACCAGGGTAAAAGGGAGATCTTTTTCTGCTCTTGACCGCAGTTCGCGTGATGGTCAAACCTTGAAGCTGAGTCACACGAAACATTATGAAAAGTACGCAGCGCGACACTTGTGGAACAAACAATTGCGATCGACGGTTTCGTTTGTTTTCGTCCTAGAATCGAAGGGTTCTCATCCAAACTACTTTATAGAGTGATGGAAAGTTCTCATTTGAGGCACTATCCTAAGTGGTAAAATTCCATTCCCGTCAGTATATACCCTTTCTAGAAACAATAAAGCGCCGACCTTGAGGTCCTGCTAACAATAGTTTTAGAATAGGAGACAAAACGCTTTGGGTCCCCCAAACAGCTTTGGGTCCCCAGCTGTTTGGGAACCCAAAGCGCTATAGGGCCCCTTATTCTAAGAACTCTCTAATGTCGCGCATTCTATAAGGATTTCGCGTTCGTTGTAAGTGAAGCCGCGTTCACACACTCGTGACTAGTAGAAATGTGTGAGCGAACCTTAAAGCGAGCTATGGCTTGAATGAGTTAGAAGCTCACGTTGAGCGCACCCTCAGTAACAGCAACGCGCACGGTGGTTCCAGTAGTGGGCTCACCATCTTGAGGAAGGGCTGCCAGTTGTTCACGTGAAGCGGCACCGTCCACCAGGTCTCCCGGCAGCGCTGCTCGTTGTGACCCAGGAGCTCGAAGTAGGCGGGGCCTCGGATCCACTTGGTCTGCAGCACGCTCACCCCCACCATGAACATCACGGGCACCGTGAGCCTGTAAAGGCAGAGCGAAATAGAGGTTATATCCGGGACTTTTATTCCTACAGAGGAAATGGAGAACCCAATCAAAACAAAAGCTAGTCAGCTTTTTTTTTGTGCGTGTGTGTTTGTCCAGGTATTTATTAGCATTTTTTTGGCTCCTCCCCGACTCCTTTGTTGTAGAAAGAACTGGGCTGCGTGAATGCAGTCGAACGAACGTGACCGTCTGGTTCATTTGTCATCTACAGATCTCGTCGTTCGCCAAACGGTTGACGCCATTCGCAGGCTCTTGTCCGGGACATCGTACCTTCCAACATGCTGTGTGGGAATTTTCTCAAAATATCAGCTAGTCAAGCTTCCTTCATCACACAAAATTTTATTATGTACCACTGCTATACAACTATAGGCGGCTTGTTCGCCGCCATAATAGCTGGAACTGCTGCGCATGCGTCAAATACCTAATACGGGGGGCAGGATTTTTAAGAAGTATTACGTTACCGTCTTCCTTAAGTTTCATCATGCTACACTTGTTCCGCGATTTCTTATGAACAAAAGTCCTCGGGTCTGTATGAGCATCGTACCGGCGCGCGGTCATGTACCACTACCGTGTGGTGCACCTTAAAAACCCCAGTCTAGCGATTGTACTGCACTGGCTAAATTTCTCACCTACAGCAGAAAAACTCGTCGCAACTTTGAAATGGGTGACCAACTACACGCTGTATAAATGTCCACAAAACCACAATTATTATTATTGTCAAATTGCATAAATACATTTACATATTGTGTGAGTTACGGTAAGTGTCACTACAAGGTAAGAGAATAATAAAAGGTGACAATGAAGCAGCAGCCTGCAATAGAAAAGGCAAAGAAATTACGAGGTTGTGACCGAGGTCAAGGATAACGGCCTTTTTTTTTACAATTAAAATGGATCATAAATGTCTTTTTATATATATTTGAATGGTCGATTCGGGTGACTTTGATGATTGTGTATGCAAACGTCAGAGAACTTGTTTTATTATTTTTTTAAATTAATCACAAAGTTGTGATTTATGACACTTTTTTGTTTTTTCTTGTTCCTAAATAACTCACACCGTAAACATAATTGAACACTAACTACCTTCAACCGGTTTCAACAACCAAAAGCAGTCAGTGCTCAATGGATGAACACTAACTACATACTTTTTGCTGGTTCAACTAGCTGACTACCTTTCAAGTATGCAGGCGGCCCAGATGCACCATGGACTTCCACAGGATATCCACGGAACAATTGAATATTATGAGGAAGTCCGAAGACTCATGTGTGCTTCTAGGGGTTATTAAACGGATTAACAAAAACTGTATTTGCAGTACTTTAGCTGAACTCCTGGTAGCTGTGCAAAAGATCCCAACTTGCTAACCAATTACATAATTACAGATGATTTTATATTTATTTTATTATTGCTGATTATTTTATTAATGACACACAATCGTAATACAACCTAAATACACCAAGAAGAGGAGAAATATACCAGAACGAATAAAAAGACGAGCGAACGGTGATTATATTATATTTCAACACTTGTCAGTGTTGAATATGCGTAAATCCCAAAATGGCTTGCCTCTGAAAGCTGTATAATTGGGCAAAAATAAATGAAGATTACCATAAAAGGACGCGATAAGCTTCATAACATTCCGATTTAGTAAGCAGTGTATGTCAAGTTCCTTGCGCATTTTCACTAACGAAAAAAGAGGCAGTCATTGTTTTTCTTTTTCTTAAACCTTGAGCTTACACAATGTTTTTGCATAATAACTTACAAAAAAAAAGAAAAACGAGAGAACGTGAATTTATATTTGCACTTTTGTTGGCTGCCGTTTGGAATCTTTCGCTTTGTGACGAGAAAACTTAAATGTAAAGTGCATTCAAATAAAAAAAAAATAAAAAAAGAAACGAGGGAAGTGCCGTTTCCCGATGTCGGCACGAATAAATGCCCACACAACGGCATTTTTTTTCCTCTTTCTTTTTTGCGCAAACGTTATTGTATAATAACAGTTTCTATCTAGCCCACGGCCAAGACGGTGCATAGAATACGGAGGCACAACTTTTCGTGGTCACAGCGATAGGGCTTGTCGACCAAACACTACAGGCATGTTAAATTATCGTACGATCTTATATCGTGAACTGCTCGGTGTCAAAATCGAATGGCCAATCTAACCTTTGGTCGAACCTTGAAAGTGATTGTGAGTCGTATTAGCATTATGTAAGAGGCCTCTCAACCGGTTTTTCCCGAGTCAAACACTGTTCTTAAGGGTTTGCTGTTAGTTTTTTTTTTTTATTTTATTTTGTTATCGAGTTTACGCGAAGTTTTCCGCGGTTAATTTCAAGGCGCAAAGTTTTCTTTTTTTGCTCAATGTGAATATCGCCTTTGTCTTTACGACGCTTATCGCAGGGTTCCCGAGATCACTTCCGCATATATTGTCTTTCCAGCCAGATCAGATTGTTGCGCCATCTACGTTGGCTCAAATCTATTCTGGAGCCAACTTCGTGGACCACAAAGGTTCGGCGAGCTTTTTGTTTTTTATGTAAAGTTTTACGACTTGATATTGCGTTACATCGGACGGTCGAGTAACCACGAAGTTAAGGAGTATTTTATTACGGGCATTTCATTTCAAGGTGTGCTATTCCTTGCAGAAAACGGCAGAAAACATAAAAAAAAAAAAAAAAAAAACATGCGACAGCGAATTCAAATCTACGAGAGGCAACCCTATGCAAATTTACACACGAATTGCACTCAACGTCATTACGGTGGTTATTCCTAAGTTAATGGAAAGTTTTAGGGTTCCGTTTTTTTGCACATTCGATGGGCCCTCCGGTACTAACTGCGCATGCGCTACCACATAACACGCGCACATGCGCAGTGCGTACAGGAGCGCCGATTGTAGCGTATCGGTCGTGCAAAAAACGGTTCCCTAAAACTCTCTACCCCCCGAGGACCTCGGGAGGACTTCGGGTTCCTTCGGGAGGACCTCGGGAGGACCTCGGGTACCTTACGTCAATTGCTCATACATTACACAAAAGACTCGCTGTTCGTTACAGACGCGATGACAGAATTATCTATGGACAGGTTTTAAGCATGTTTGAAGCATGTGCGTTTTTTTTTTTTGCATATGTATGCTTGGAACATGTTTGCAGACAGTTTTTGTACGATCAGTGTGACCATCACACAAGAAAGAAACACCCCTCAGAGAGTGTGTATACGTGGAGCGCCCATGGGAGTAAGTTCTTTTTTAAAATAAGAAACTCACGCATCATTGTTCGTGAAATGTTTTATATTCAATAATTTCCTCGTGTCTTAATGTATGTTTTGAGGAGAATATGTTTGATGTTAAGACATTTGTCATATTGTGGGGCAAGTTTTTGAGTGTACCTCCTTGTAGAAATCTGTTGCGTGAGTATTTAGCCAACATGCTTGGTATCCACCGCCATGAAAAACATTTAATGCCACTGAAGCGTTGTTGTTGTTTTGTTTTTTTTTTGTTTTTTTTTTTTGTATTCAGTTTGTGAATTAATGATTTCGAAACTTCCTGGACATTTGTTACAAGGTTAGAAGCTATAAAGCGCCGGTTTTTTAGAAGTTATTCGTGTGCTTCGGTCACCAAATCGTCCGTTATAAGAGACGGTCTAGTGCTCGGTAATCCACCACAAACACTCGTTAGCCCTTAATTAAACATTCGAACCCGTTTCCACGCCATTACTCTAAGGCAATGCGCCTGGGCATAAATTTCACAATCTTGTAAATGGTTACTTCAGCGCATTCGTGGTCTGACATTTTTCGCATACTGATATATCACAGACCGAACTTCGGAGTCGGTGAGCCGTTTTTTCGACTGAACAGGATCATTGCGAAGCATAAACAGACAACATATCACATTCCCACAAAATGGCGGCGTCCGGCTGCGAATAACAAATAAAAGAGCAGAAATCCGCATGTACGACTCTGAAGTGTATACTGTCGAAGGACTTAGGCTCAAACGGTACTCACTTTCTGGCTTGTATTTGGAGCATATATGGTAGAGAATCAAAGCACAATCAAGGGTTCGGCGTCAATACACTAAAGGTGTGATGTACAGAGAATTAACGCTGATAACCACTTTTTGTGCCTCATCATTCGGTAGGTTCACCTCCATTCGTAGTGATTGACTCTACTAGGGCAAGCTATTTTGGTAAACATGAAACGAAGAGTATATTTGTTGTTCGAGCTCTCCCCTCCTAAGAATCAACAGCCATCGGTCACTTCGTAACAGCCGCGTCATACAGGTGAAGTATAGGCGCCATTCCGGCAATCAATGCCCGCTTCTCAGTGCACTCTCAAAAATGCCTTCACGTACACACTGGCCCGCAATGCGTTTGAGACACAAATAACTCGTTTGCTTTAATCCGCTTGGCCTGCAAAGACGACGGGGAGAGATATCGTACGTGCTTCAATGGTGGTGCAATCACAGTGGCAAATCTTTGTCCGCTCCCCTTGTAGGACATCGTAGCATGCAGCCTACAGCACCCTTAAAGGCGCGATGCAACAATTTTTATATTTTGCGCAAATACCGTTTAGAACGAATCCCTGACGTTAATCACCTATGAAACACGCGTACACGCAATCGAAGTCGCAGAAAAAATGAAAGAAAAACAAGCAGCGTTCACCTCCTCAACTGGCAGCCAGAACAAGCGGCCACGTGATCTAGAGCCGATTATATGCCGCCAATGTTGATCATGGCCAAGCGCTGAGGTTGGCAAGGTACAGGACACGCGCCGAGTTCCAAACATTGTTATGGTTCGGCTATAGGGACGCCATATTTCTGGGTGCTGCCTAGAGCGCATGCTAAGAACGAGTTCACATCAATAGGCTGCTAAGACCGGCACTCTTTATGGTGTGGAATGCACGTTAGAAAAGAACTGCGGAAGCTCGCCGTCAGCACGCGCTTAGCAAACACGCACACATATTAGCGGCGAGATGTTTTGGTGGCGCCCTCCTATGGTTCCCCCTTGTGACGTCATTACCTTGCAAACAACGAGTTCGATGGAGTTTGTAAATAGCATGGTGGAAGCTTGAAATCATTGAGCTCTTAAAGCAACACTGCCAACACCGTCAAAATTAAAGTTCTTTCATTCCTCTTATTTCCGTCGATGATAAATCCCCTTTCCTACGTCATAGCCAGCGTTCGGCCAATCGTGGAAGGCCGACCACAGCGACGCTTTCGGTCGCGCACGGGGCTAATATGGCCGCCAGTGATTACTTTTTCGGGCCACTACCCGAATGCTTCTCGAGCTATCAATTATCACTAGCTCAAATCGAGTGCCCACGCAATGCTCACGTCCAATCTATGAGCCGCATTCAAATATCGTCACTGGAGGATACTGCGACCGCAACCGCCCAGCTACGTCATCTTTTTACGAAGGAGAGATTGAATGAAAACGCTCGCTTTTGTCCTTGAAATTACACCGGAACAAAGAAGTTTCTTGACCTGTGGCATTGCGTGCGAGTATCCTTGAGCCCCATTAGTGCCAGCAAGCTCGTATAATGTGAAAAACATTCCAAATGAATATCGTTGTACCGACCCTTTAACGTAGCGCCGATGTAGAACGAAAATTAAGTCCTATACCGTTCCGTAAGTTCATTATCGACTGCACAGTCTAGCCCACCTACCGCACATAACGGCGAACCAGCATGATCCCGAAGACAACGGCGTAATGGCCTCGGAGGTTCTTCATCCTCTTGAGCACGTTGTACGAGAGCAGGAAACCCCTGGAGAGCAGAGGGAAGACAACCCATCTTTAACCAGATCAAGGATAGCTGCTTCAGAGAAACAGAGACCGACACGTTTTTTCTCGGTGAAATCGCGGACTCGCGGATCAACGCACCCGAGGAAGAAGAATGTGGCGATGCTGGGGTAGGCGTTCACGATGAGCGTGAAGAACACTTCTTCCGTGGCTTCGAGAACCTTGAAGTAGCTTCCTGCAAGAAGGGATTACGCTCAACCGCGCGTAAAATTGACCCCGACTTCTCCCGTCTCAATGCAAAGTCGCGTTTTTGCAGTGATCGAGCGAGTTGGCTTTATGTGCGCGTGTCCCTGGAATGACCCCGTCTCTTTAAGCAGGAAGCGATGAGGGAGATTTATTTGCGCCAATCCATAACCATGCTCGACCATCAAAAAAAAAAAAAAAAAGTTTTTGTTTTGGGTTATGCCGTTTTTGTGTCTTAATTTTATTCACAATGCGTTATTCACAATGTGTCTGAAGAAGTACAGAAATATCTTCCATTGCATCTCACAAAAAAAAAAAAAAAGTAATGTTTAGAGATAATAATAGCCACTTTTAGTGAAACAGACTAAAACGAAACTGAATAACCAAGTTAAAATACAATTTTTTCGTAAACTTATTAATTATCGAAACTTGAGAACATTTTTTTTTTTCTGCATCCGGGAAGTTGACATAAAAGTAGGTTTACAATGAGGCGGGCAAGATGACACTCTTCCAATGCTCCGTTTCAGTTTGAGTCCGAGCGCGCTTCGATTCAATGAAGCCAGTAAAGAATTTTAGGGAACCGTATTTGCACACCCGATAAGGTACTATGGGCCCTCCGGTGCGCACTGCGCATGTGCGAATCTTCTGCGTTAGCGCATGCGCAGTTCGGACCGGAGGGCCATAAAAGGTTCCCTAAAACTCCCTAATATAAGCAGCGCTAAAAGTGCGTCGTCACGACGCTGAACGTCTTTGAGCGACCGCTATCACCGACGAAACCATTCAAGCACAATAAAAGCACTATAATCCTGCGTGTTTTTTTTTTTTTTTCGTGAATAATTTTGTTGGTGATGAAAAAAAAAGCGCAAAGCATGAAATTTCTAGAATATCGTCAGGCAGAAAATGAGGGACCACCTTTTTAGCCTCACGGTAAACGCACCAGTCTGAAGACAAAATTTAGGCACCAATCTCTACCGTATACACAGGGGCTGGATGGCGCATATCTCTGGTCTGCAAGCCTAGCGCGAGTGAAGCCACCCGAAGTTCGACGCTTGTTCCGGAAATCGGGCGTCCCGCCAGGCTTCCTAGTGCGCTCAGTAGGTGCATCGGTTCATGCATTCTTTCGTCTTTAAGTGGGTTTTAATGATACCGTTTCCAATTAAATCCCGAGAATAAGGCATTCTGAACGTGGGACGCAAGCACACTCGATCAATTAGAATTTTAAAATGTTCACATCGAATGGTTTCCCGGAAGACTTCTCGGGCCATGCGTGCGCTGTTACCGCGAAAAGAGCAGGCTCTCTCGAGATGACGAGAAACAAATCCAGCGCCCTGAACGCTGTTTGAACCAGCGCTCGGAAGAGTTGTAAAAAGCCTGTCAAGCGCTCACTTCCGGGACAAGTCGCTTACTTCCGGTGGCTTCATACCTGTTTTCCCAATGCCCCATCCAGCCCCTAGTGGACATGAGTGGTTCCAGGTATACCATAGTATGCACCGAGAAACAGAGAGAGGAGGTGGCGAGAGCCCGCAGGGATGTCAGAGCGCTGAGCTCTGGTCGGAAGGATTAGTGGGTACTGTCGAGACCGGTTTATAACGACGCCAACGGGAATCGGAAATCCCTTGGCTATATCCGCTATTTCGTTATAACCGACTTCGTTATAACCGGTCTTGACAGTACACCATAAAGCTAGCTTCCTTTATATCCACTGCGCTCGTCGAACGCGTTTAGAACGCGGAACCCCGGCGTCCGGCATTTGCCTTCCGAACGGGTTCGACGAGTGCAGTGGAGACAAAGGCTGCTAGCTTTAGGTATACCCACTAATCTGTCCAATCAGAGCTTGGCATTCTGACGTCCCCTCTCGTCTCCTCCTCTCCCTCAGCTTCTCGGTGCATAGGAGTGTGCGCATATCACTTCGAGTCGAACAGCGCCATCCCTGGTTTGAACACTGCAAGACGAGTCGGCATGCCATAGGCGTCCCTTGCACTGTGAAGGCTGGAAATGAGACAGCGCTATTCGGTTCGAACTGCACCCGTACTTCCTACGGATCACCTTAAGGGGCCTTAGGGCTGAGCTACAACTCTTTTAACTTATACCATGGGTCAAAAAATATTGCGGTTCGAGCTCCTTGACCAGCCGCCGACTTACGAAGGGCGCTGATGTCCACGATGAAGTACGAGTGCCCCAAGATGACCCAGGTGGTGCTGAAGACCTTGAGCCCGGCGAAGCAGGCCAGCCTCCGGTTGTCCGAGCCTTCGTCGAACCGGGTGTTGAGCAGCTTGCGCGTGTTCTCCACCGCCGAGAAGGCCAACAGGTACTTCCAAGGGGACTCTGCACGCACGCACGGGTCCGGAAACCCGATGGGCACACGGCGCCATGCAGCTTGCTGGCGAACCGAGCAGCCTTTTCGTAGTACTCCTCATTCGCGCCTCGCAGAAACGTATTTGTGGAAAGTTGAGATGTTCGAACGAAAGACGGATGTTACTTAAGTTACTGAAATCTTTAGAAACGCAAAGCAAAGCCTGGTTTTTTATATCCACTCTTCTTACTTCGTGATTCGTCCTTCACCGTCGTTAACGGTCAGTGCCGCAACCTAAACGGCTGCGGAGTGATAATAAGACGGCCGGAACTCGGCACTCCACTGTTTCTTGAATTTTCACCGACTACTGTGGTCATGGGTTGCCAAAGGCATGGTAGCGCTTTTTTGGACGAGGACAAAAGAAAGAAAGACAAGACAGACAGCAGACGAAATAAAAAGGGCAGGGCTGGGGTGTGTCAGCGTTGCATCTATCGACCTTTTCGATAAGGAGGTGCAGTTCATGCAAGTGGCGGCTAGGCCTGGGGTTGGTTGATTGATAGGATCGAAGCGTGTATATATGCCTCATTTCCATGTTGATTAAATAGTTGCAGTCAGCGCTCGTGTCTGTCTTGTCTTTCTTTCTTTTGTCCTAGTCCAAAAAAGCGCTACCATGCCTTTGGCAACCCAAGACCAATACCAACTAGCCCAACATACAGCTTTGATACTGTGGTCAACATACCAAGTGCCCCCTCCCCCCCCCCCCCTAAAAATGCAGTATTTTGGTTTGTTTTTAAACTGCAAAAATGAACAACGGTTCACCGAACGCTCATTCAACGCCCATATGTAGCGCTAGCGGTCCGAAGCAGAAGCCAACGTTTCGGAAGTAACATTTATCTCATACAACAATTATAAGCGATTTTTTTATTATTTTGGGAAAACGGGGTTTGCTTTCCCCCGTTTACGGTAACCGGCGCTATTCATCTCCGTGTGTACGAGAGCCCTGTCGGCTGCCATCTCCCCGAACAAGATAACACTTAGTTCTGAAACTTTGGCATCTTGCGGAGAATGAGCGTTTGGCGATACGTAATCTATTCTCGAAGTAAAAAAAATAAATAAAGCCTGTAAATTGTTTTGTGGGACACCCTGTACATTCGTGGGTGTTTGGCACACGCATAAATAATTCGTGCCAGATGGGAGCCGAAGTGCGTAGTTCACGTTTTAGACTCAGGAGTGCAACAATTGAGTCGATAGGCCTCTTCCACTTGGGAAAGAGGGCACAAGTTGGGCTGGCCAATAGTCTGGGCTATATATACACTGCGTGAAACGCGTTCGTACTTCGTGGCTGCACGATTTACGTTTACATGTCCAATGCGGCGCCGGAGTGTCTCACGGCGTTAGTTACACGATTTCCCTAAAAAGCAAAAACAACCCCTTGTCACAAAAACAAAACAAAAACAACATAGTTTAATATTAAAAATGCTACCTTCAGTTTTATAACGTAGAAAAAAAAATTCAAGTTCCGGAAGGGCACAGATTTGCTCGTTCGCTCTCTTTCGGTTCTCTTCGTCAGTTTTCTTCTTTTTTTTTTCTTTTTTTTTACTTCTAACTTGCTGGCGGTGCTAATGGTGGTGCTGCGTCCTGCGCAGCGAGTGGTGGCGTTCGTCTTGGTTCATGACCGGCAATTGTCCATCCCGAAGCATCAAGCGACGGAATGCGTACAGTGAGAAAGAAAGAAAGCCGCGACCCCGCGCACTAAATAAAGAGGCCAGTGAACGCGCGAGAGGGTTGTCCGGTTTTCTCTCGACGAACACTCAACTGTTTACCAACAAGCCCGCGTTTACCGACAACAAAACAAACCAGATTCGCCCAAGGCGAAGCATGTGCGCATGTGCAGTGCCAACAGCAGCGCCACCGCTATCGCGTGACGTCAGAGACTCGAAGCCCGGGGCAAAGCTCTTGGGAACGTTAATCGCTGCAATCGACGGAGGGTGCCCGGCGACATGACGATGCTGAAGATATGTTTATCCCTAAAACATAAGCAACCTGCGCTGCGGTAATGAGCATAGCATACAAAAGACATCGTGTTCGCTGCATACATGATGCCAGAGTTGTCTGCGAACAAAAGTCTCGGAGCAAATTCAAAGCATGTTTGCTTTATACGCATTCTTCGAACATGTCTGCAAGCAGTTTTTGTGTGACGGCCGTCATACGAGGACCATGGATGGATGAATATAATGGCTATGCCCTTATAACGGGCGGTAGCTTGCGCCACCTAGCCTGAGTCTGACAGTGTTTGCAGACTGTCTCTTGTAAGGTGTATTAGCGCGCGTGGCAGCGGATACGCATCACACATGGTGAAGCAAAACGCCGAGCCCGTTCCGCGGTCACTCACCTTCGGAGCGGAGGCTGCTGCCAGGACGGAGCACTAAGTCCAGGACAGTGCCTAGCAGAAGTAGCAGTCCCAGGACTCCGATGATTGAGCTGAGCGAGCAGAAAGGTGACGTTGTCAACGGAAAAGCGTTCTGGAACCGCCAAAGTAACGACCAAATGACCGAATATTTGCTTTTGCCAAGACGGACAAAAAAAGAAAAAAAAAGTGAGTAAACCTACATTGAAACTTAAGGCCCGTTCACACTTTTGCGACCGAGTAAGACCGAGAGAGACCATACCGGTTTTTTAGGCCTCTTGCGATCTCTTAGGACCAGCTCCGCTGCAGCGCATCCGGTCCTAAGACGTCGCAAAAGGCTTAAAAACCGATCATGCCTCTCTCGGTCTTACTCGGTCGCAAGACTGTGAACGGCGCTTTACGAAGTGAAAAGAAGCGCAGTAAACTCTGTTTTACCTTATGATGGACCTCAGCGGACGCCACCAGCCATCCCAGCCAACCCAGTGCTGTGAACGTGTCATGTGACAACGTCATTGAGCCCCTCATAGAATGACACATAATGTTAACACGGCTTTGGATTGGCTTTGATGGCTCGTAGCGTTTCCTGCGGTCCACCGTAAAATGAAACGGAGTATAGCGGAGCAGCATATATCTATAGCTTTACACTAGACGAGAATACGCTACCGGGAAACCACTTGAAACACCGGGTGTGCGATAAAACAGAATAAGATATGTAACTACCGAACGACCCGAGCAGTTTTCTTTGTACGTATACTTTCCGCCTTCTTGAGAGATTGGATGTTTTGGGGTCAGTTGGATGATTCTATGAGATAGATTTTATGTTTATTCGGTCGATGCGATGATTCATGTCCCAAGCTACGCACAGCCGAATTACGCGTCGAGAGAGATTGTACGTTTGACACAAACTTGCGTCAAAAGATTAGGTCATAAGGGTGAAAGGAAACGCTGTAGGAGAGGCAAGTTTTACGTGCCACAAATGTACCAAAAACAAATCAGAGAAAGGGGCACGAGAAAAGTATCCAAAAGGATCCTCAACAGGGTACACTAAATTTCTTCATAGTACGTGTGTTTGAAAAATAAGGCAGTACCTGACTTGACGCTTGCGACGAAAAAAAAAAAAAAATTGCGTCAGGACGTTTCGTTTACACAAGGCGGATCTTGGTTCACTTTAAACGTTCAAGCAATGAATACTGCTTGCGTCCTTGTAACGCTAGTTATTTTGCTTAGAACCGGCTGCACCTGGTTGCTTAAACTGTAGCGAGTCAGCTGGTATTGGTTCATTTAACTACGTATCACTAACAAAAAAAAAACGAAAAAAAAAAAAAACGCAGGGCGTGCAAAGTTTGCATCACACACGCGTGGGTTCGACCGAGCGCGACTGTGACGGCTTGCGACGTTAATAATTTTGCTCATTGCTATGGCAACTGCTACCGCCTCGTTGCCATAGCAACGCGTAAAAGGATTAATGTCGCAAGCCCCGTTTCAGTCGCACTAGGTCGTACTCAATGCAGGTGTGTGAATCGCCCTTAACGCTTTTTGCTTCATAATTCGCTACTTAGCGCTTTAATTATGCAAAAATAAAATACAATTAAAAAAAGTTAAACTGCTTAACAACAAATGCGTGGAGATCGCTTATTAGAAATTATTAGAAACACTATTCATTTGTGACACCTTTCGTTCATAATTATTGGTCAAGGCGTTATACTGACGATAAAAGAGCATTTTCTTGTCTACGTTAGAGAGCATTATACGACTTACATCATGGCGATTCGGATGGGGTTCCAGTTGCGGTCAGGGTTGTCCTCGTAGTCGCAGCCTGCGACGTGGTATTTGAAACCGAAGCCACCCAGCACTGCAGAGACAAAAGAAAGCCAGTTAACGGGTATCCTTGCATATCTTCTGGCTGTTTTTTTTTTTTTTTTTGCAGTTTTGATTATAAAGAGTGTGGACGTATTAACATAATCTCCGCCGTTTGTAAGCACAAGATCCAAGAAACTAAGTAACTAAAAAATCTTTATATTCGATTGGATTGTGACCAACGCTTACTTTCCTCCCTCTTTCTCAATATCATGTTCGACGAGCACTTGTCAATGTGTTCTGAAAGAAGCGACATTCATTCTTACCATATCAATATAGCTTATTATTAAACTTGAAAGCGCTCGCGTAGGTCATATTCATCATTGTGGGACATCAACTACAATGGATCATAAGGGGGACGGATAAGCCTGCCTTCTATGTGCCATAAAGTTCAATTTTCTTTTTATATTCTGGACGTTTTTTTTACGTTTCTGTAAGTTTCTACAGTTCGTGCGTGGTAAATTGTATTTGTTAGAAAGGAATTTAAAGTGCATAAGTTACTCGTGAGCAAAAGAACCCTTCCAAACACACAAACGTCGTCGACTGACCGAGTCCAATCAAGCGCTCCACGTCTTTCACAGAGCAGACCGATGGAACGCACAGTCCCAGCCTTAGCCCTTTGTAGTAGCTCTCCACGTCCGGCTTGAAGTAGTCAGGCGCTCGACGGCCCTGAAACAGACAGTCATACGTACACACTAGGGCCGCGTTCCAAATCTTACCCAAATAGATCCGAGTTGCTCCGGTGGGTTTTGTCACGTGACAACACAGATGGAGCAACCCTCGACCTCGGGTAGATTTTCGAACGCCAAGTTGCAAAACCTTTACCCCAGAATAAGATCGAGTAAATTTTGGAACACGGACCAGGTTAGCCTCTTCGTTTCTTTCTTAGGGCGCGGTCGCAGTGCCAATACATAATACAAAAGACAGTCTGAAGACACTGCCTGAAACGTGTTTCGACCTTGTATGACCTTCAGATTGGCCATACAAAAACTGTCTCCAGAAATGTTCGAAGCTTACAGATGTATGAAGCAAACACGCTCCGAACAACGACGACGATAAATAATTCCTGGAGAAGAGGAACAAGAGGAACAACACAGCTATAGGTGACTGGTGCGCGACTGCAAAAATCCGCCTGGTCCTGGTATCGAACCAGGGGCGTCTCTATTTCCAGTGGAGCGCACCAGTCACCTAGATGTGTTTGCTGATTTGTGGTTGTCCTTTACCCCACTGTTTCCCTTCTTCAGGGATTATTATCATCACGCTTGTCCAGCCCGCTTGCACCTTCGCATTAATTGCATTATCATTATGCTTCTAACATACTTGAGGTAATTCTGTTGCCATGTATGCAGCGAATACTGTAGCTTCCGTACGATGTATACGGGCAGCGAGACTGGGGCTGTCAGTGACCACAGTATCATTAGGAGGAGGAAGAGCGCGGAACTGACCTGGTAGTATCCTTGCTTCTGCATGCTTAGAGTGGTCTTGCGCACGTATTCCGCAGGCAGACTGTAGAATAGGGTGCAGTACTTTCCGGCGAACCCTCCGGTGGCAGATCCGTGCCTCACACTCAAGCACTCGTCGTAGTCACCGTACGAGCCGGTCGTACCGAACAACAGGCCGGCAGAAGGACGGCCAGTCGCATCCACCACTGCGCACCGGGCACTCAAAACTCAAACTACGCTCGAAAAAAAGAAAAAGAGCACACTAAAAAATAAGGTCTGCGATTTCACTTTCATGCAGAACGCAAGAGAACGAATCAAGGTGGCCGGTACACGCATCACGGATCCCAGTGTAGGGTCGTTGCAGCTCAGGATACCATTATAGACCAAAATATACACGATGTGCGCACGAGACGGTGAGCGTTCTGTTTCACTCGCTCGTTGTGCCCGCGAACATCTCATATTTTCGATATATATGAGTTTCGTCTCTGAGTATTACGAGTATTATGAGTTTCGTCATTGGCCAGGATCTTGGCATTGTTCGCCGTGATTGGCTTTCTTTGTGTTCCACGGGAAAGTGAGCTCAAATACTATTTTTTTAGAGCGTATAATCAGCCACAGCCTAGGAAACGAAGTGCGTGGCTTATCATCACTCCTTGCCTCGTGGTTGGTTCTTCAGTGTGCCAATCAAGCAGCCTCATTGGCTGCGGGACGTTAATGAGATGCACAAGACTTTCCACGTCCCCACTCTAAAAAAAGCCCGTGCGTCTACTTTCTCGCACAATACTCGGAGAGCCAATCACCGCAGCTTACGGAGGCAGCTCAGCGAATGACGATGCCGAAACATATGTTTCGGCATCGTCCCTTTCTTCCCAATGTCTCCTGTATTCCCTTCGCAACACTTCCCCGAGAATATGTCGCTCAGCGGATGCAGTTGCAGAAGACCAGAAGAAAAGCAAATCATTACATTTTACTTTCGCTGTGTAAAAAGATTTGCACAAAAAAAAAAATAAGAAAAAACTAGATCAGTGGGTACTCGACTTACGGTGGCCTCATTATCATGACAGTGCAAAATAAGGCTACAGAGGCACGATAGAAAGTGTGATGTAATCGCAAGAGTCACAGCAATATACCATACGATTTCAGTCAAAGGTAGCATGTGCGAATGTGTGGTATGCAACAATTTCATGCTCGCACTCATAAAAGTGCAACACAGTTTGTCAGCTGCCGAAAAGCTATTGATCGACGCTTAAATTTAAGTGATACATTATACGATATACTATGAAAGCGGCAAAGCTATTGCGCTTTCTCGAATTTCTCACTCGTGCCTCTCGCTTGAGCCTCCTCGGATCCACAAAAGGCGGGTTCGAATCCCGGCCGAGGTGCCCCTCATTGATGAGAAGGCGCCGTGAATCCGAGATGTTGGATGCACGTAAAGAAATGTCAGGTAGAGTCGAAATTAATCCTCAGTTCATCACTGGGGCGTGCCACGTGGTCCTCGTTGAAATAACACGTAATACTCCTTCAGATTTGGTTTGCCTCTTGCAGAGAAGGTACCGTGTAACCAAGGTATCAGTTGCACGTCAGAAAACTTCCCGGGTAGTCGAAATTCACCCTCAGTCGTTCGCCGGGGCGCGCCACATGCCCTTCGTTAATTAAACACGTAAAGCCAATTGATTTGCTTTTTGCGTGAGCTTGAAGGACGAATTCCGCGAAATATCTGAACACGAGAAGAAAGGCGTTCAAATCTATGACGGGTCTTTTTCTCCAGGGTGAGGATCCAGCAATCAAACTAGGCGGGCAACAAGCAGGTTTAACGCGTGCGGTAAGGAAACATACATACTGCGCAGCGCCCAGGGCATCTTCGTGCGTAGCCCTATGAGCAGCTGGAGGATGGCTCCTGAACAGTCCTGCGTCACGTTGTCGGCGGACAAGAGGCTCGCGGCAAAGGGCGTAATTCGTTTGGACAACTCTTTCATGAGGGCGTCGATCGCGTCTTCGAAGTCCCGGGTCGTAGTCTCCGCGGGCAAGGTTGTCGCCTCCAGAGGCTCATCAGAGACAATGGCTTCCGATCGGGGTGACTCCGCCACCCCAAATGTCATTAAAAGAAACACGACGAGAACTGTGATGGAAGCTGCCATGACGGAGCTTCAGCAGCACCAAGTTCCGGATGATGCTAACACAAAAAAAATAATTCGTAGAAAACAATATACAGGGGGTGTCGTATAAAAATAACACAATTCCACAATGGTTTGCACGAGGACGGCACAGGGCGCTTGGCTTTGAAGCGAAAGGAATCCGGGGAGCCAAACAGTAAATGACTCGTTTCGACGACTGGTCTGGGCTCACTGGACGGGGGCTTCTCACGGGCATCGACTTTTTATTTCGGGCAGCATGTTTACTGTTGGTCTCTTGGCAAATGCAACTAAGCAAACAAACGCACAGAAAGGCTCCAACAACAAAGGCAATAAAAAGAACAAAAATGAGGAAACAAGAAAACATACAAACATCGGTATTTGCACCAAGGACTGCCCCTTTCATCCGAGAGGTGGACCCTAGCGGCAGAGCGGAACTTTCCCTCTCTCATTTATCTGCCACGGCCATCGAAACCAGGCATTACAGTGGACGGGATAAGAATCTCACGCAACTCTTTCGGTTCCAGAGCGATAAAGGAGAAGCACCTATTCCTGGGATCGGCACTGCCAAATCAACCCTCTCCACGTCAGACACCTGAACCGGTTTGTTTGCAAGTCGCTGTGGGTCGATGTCAGCGAGGCGACCGCGTAACCTTGGCGCATGCCCTGCCCCCCCCCCCCCCCCCCCCCCCCCCCCCCTCTTGGCAGCGACCGCCGTAGGGCTGGAGAATGCTCAGAAGGGATCAGCAGTGACGCACGGCCGGTCGTCTGCCCCGCCGCCAAATATGTGCCACAGTTATCGCCGTTCGTTTCATTGACCGCCGATATCCCTGGACGGAATGGTCGCCACCGTAAGAAAGGCGTCACAACAGCAGCGCACGCCGTTCTTGCCGTCTTGCAGAGACGTGCTGAGTGTCACGTACACATTGTAACCGGAATATTCCTACGGCAGAGTCACGCACCCAATTCGCAGCAGACAGTATTATAGCGTGAAACTGAGCGAGGCAGGTTGATCTGATTAGGCATTTGAAGCATCTCCATAGTGGGAGACGCGGCATGCGTAAGTCACACCGTTGCATTCTCTGGAGGCTTAAATACGGAGGCGAAGGGCGGGGGGCATACGTGGCACAACGATGAGAACAGGGATATAGGCCCACGTGTCCGAAAAGCTGGGTGAATAACACTCTTTCTTGAGTAGCTGCTTTTTCTTTCTGCATGGAACAGCCAGATTTGTCTGCGTGTGTGCTTGAGAGGAAGAGGGGGACATGTTTCTAAATTTAGTCACCTCTCTGTGGCTCTGTTACAGCTTTGGAAGAGTTGACACGGGGTTAGCGAACGTAGCACGTGGCATGAAAGAAAAGTGAAATATAGGAACACATGTAAAAAGATTGATTTAATGAATACCTTTAAAACTAAAAAAAAAAAAAAACGGTATTAAATAGCGTAGTCGTCTGATCTTTTGAATAGCGAAATAGAAAGTACGGGATTGAGAGGAGTACACCGGATCAAATCCGTGAACCAAAACAGGTAAAACTAGGCAGGGTAGACGAGTCTTTCTTTCTTTTTTAGTGTTTTTATCACACTTTCCTCCCCGGTGCGCGCTAATTCTAATTAATTCGGCGCAGTTAGCAAAACCTCTACAAAACATGAAGGACGAAGAAACCTCATCGAGATTTTGGCACAGCACTCTCTTACTCGTCAACAAGTGTCACGTGATCCCCCACACATTAACAAAAACAAATTTCATGGGAGAAGTTGACAGCAGTGAATTATTAATCGACTCTAGAAAGAGGCAACATGTATTTTGCTTCAAACTGCCGAGATACCTTAACAAATCAAATCTTGAGCCCCTTGAAAAGAGCTGCGCTCTAGATTCGTGTCACTGTCATTTCAGTTTTATGTGGTTTTAGTTGTACTATGTAGTTTCCAATGCAGCATTAGTCGTTACGTTGGGTCTGCATAAAAACAGCTTAACCGAGATAGGAAAGGACATGGTTTATTAGCCAAAGTCAGCGAGGAACATATACCAGATTTTCGAGCGACAAGGATTTGGGGAGATCGTCAAGGCCACAGTCGAACGGTGAACCTCGTACACCGAGGAAACACTATAGGTCTCGTAAAACTCTTTGAATATTTTTTCTTATCGTTTTCTTTTTTTTCGTTTTCTGGTCTTGCCTTTTTGAGAGGTCTCTACATTAATTGAAAATCGGAGACGGTGGAGTTCCTGCTTCGTACCGAATTTACAAACGCAATGAATAAACAAATAATAAAAAAAGCAAAAGCTCCCGCTCTGCATCTCATGCAAGGGGTAATAAAATGAGATAAGCGGCGATGGGAGTCGCTGTAATAAAATAGTTGAAGCTCAATGGCAAAAAGAAAAAATCGATGTCAGCTCAAACCAGAATGCATAATAACAAGACTATTACCAAAGCAATGGATGGGTACAAGACACCTCATCGAACGCCATTTTGTCGAATACGCCATTTCACCGAACTTGACTCGATTGACTTTGGGAATATCATGACACTTGTAATCATCTTTGCGTTTGAAAAGTTTCACAAAGTTCTTTCAGCAGAGTTTTCTACGTGCTTTTATTAAATAAACTCTGACGTTTAGGAAATCATGACTATTGTGTTGCGCAACTTGCGCAGTGCTACGATGAATAATTCCGCTTAGAGAAATTGTACTTGCACTTTACCATTAAGCAGCTGCTCCCTTTTCCCATCGTGCAAGTTCTGGCAGGTTCATAGATTCACCTTGGAGCAGGTAAGTAGCGATTCCAAGCTGATTAAAGTACTCGTTACAAAAATAAAATAGTTACATAATTATATAAACAATACAGATGGCGGAACCGTAATTTTCCATTCACCTTCTTTTTGGTGTTGGTATATTTGTTGTACGCATGTTGTTTTATCAAACATTACCAAAACTTACGAAAAAAGAAACTACGCATTGCACGGAAATAATAGTCATGTGCCGTGTTGGTCACTGTCAAAATGTTTATTTATTGAGGTATACATTGTGTTTAGGATGATTAAGTTTTTGTGAAATTTTGCATAACTATGCATTTTAATTAGTAAAACTAAACAGATCGTTCTATTAAGAACTTGATGAATATAATCGAAAACTACTAAATTGGTCACACAGAGGTTCGGGCGAGTTGGTTGGAGAACAGTCATTTAAATCAACATACACACAAAAGAAAGAGACACTTACTCAGCGCTGAGTAAGTGTCTCTTTCTTTTGTGTGTATGTTGATTTGAATGACTGTTCTCCGGGTGCGCTGTTCCCCCTGTAAATTGGTCAATTTTAGAAATATATAAAAGGATCGCCTTGTTCTTTTTTTATCTTCGTAAATTTATCTGATTTTGACGAACCCGCGTGTTTTTTTTTTTTTTCCATTTTTTATTACCCACATTTTCGCTGACAGTTTTTCATGGCGCTCAGCATGTTTCGAAGGAAAAAACTAAATGTTTCTTTTTACTAACTAGTGCGTTCATTATATCAGAAAAGCTAATTAAAAATTAATGATCCAAAATGCGACGTATAATTCACTAACTTGGCCCCTCGGCAATGAATAATTCGGCCCCCGTCATTTTCTTCTGCGATGCGTAGATTTTTTACCAGAAGGTTTGGCCGATGTCACGGTGAAATAGTCGGTAGAAACAGCCCGGTTGACTTGAGAATATCTGCGTTCTGGCTCATCCGTTGGATGATATCCGGCTTCATCACTCAATTATCTATCTGATCAGCGAAAGCGCAGATTACTTTCCTAATTGATTACACCTTCCGCGCGAGCTAGAACATACACAACGTAAATATAACATGTATATACATTTTCCCCGTAAGGAGTGCGTGAAAAAAAAATGTATATATAAACATCAACGCACAAAACTAAAGAAAAGAAACTGCTTCCAATCATTCACGTGCTTGCATTTCCTGTTTGCAAACGATTGCGATCATGAAGCCGGTTGCCATAGACGAAAGCGTCGCGTGTATTTTTCCTCCTCCGCGATCTCGGTCACGTTGGTGTAACATATGCAAGTCGCGCACCCTAAAAAATAAAAAAAATAAAAAATAAAAAAAAAAAGCCGAGGAAGACGACGACGACGACACTGCTTCTGGTAATTCTATTTGTGTCCCCTGAGATATAACCCAATATTTGCTAAATAGTGAGCCTGCACTTCGTATCCACCGATTACGTAACAGCAGAGAAGTATCGGACCCCTCTTTGCGAAGGGCCCCCTTCAGGGAGGCCAAGCTTCCTGCAAAAATGAACCCTGAATCAACAGACCAACTGATGCTCACCGCCCTGCAAGACATAGCAGATTCGGGGACGTCTTTCAAAGACGGCTATCAAATTCCGCCCGAGGAACCGACGACAGATGCAATGACTTGCACTTCCTCTACAATCGTGTCTGCCTGCGATGACGACGACATGCTGCCCGACGACGATGAATTTGAGACTGCTCAGGGAAAGAAGAGGCGTAAGACGGACCCACGGTGTCATGCTTCATCTCTCAAGGACGAAGGCAACCTACAAGTTGGATGCACCGTATTCATGCCGACTGAGAACCACAAGGTATAGTCGCTCAGCATACTTAAGCTTACAGACTACCTGAACAACGTTGCTCCAGGCATGGTGAGTGTTGTCCGGATTAACAAAGCTCGGAACATTGTCGCAGTTGATGTGAAGGGACCTCTCTTTAAAGCGGAGCTTCTCAAGCTGTCCAGGCTATGCACAGTACCGGTCAGAGCCTTTCTGCCGAGAGA